TTAAAAAAAAATTTTTTTTTTTTAGAATTGAATACTTTAAAATAAAAATTTCATTAGTTCTAATAGAAAATAATAACTAAAATTATTTGTCTAAATCTAATGAATTTGGACAAGAAAAATAAATTATTAAAAATTAAAAAAAAAAATTTAACGGGGAAATGACGTACCCCACGCATCCACACCCCGTCTTGCCTTAAACGGGGGACGGGACGGGAATTTCTTAGCCCCCGCGTCGTTGCCATCCCCTAGCACCAGACTTGTTTATCTATATTAAAGTAGGGAATGGTGGAGAAGGGGAACCAAATTGATGCCAACCATGATAGTGATAGTTATTGCAGTTAATAATTTACACATTCTACTGTTAAAATGAGAAATTTTTGTTTTGTGTTTTACAGAAAACAACAATTTCACCGTATTTCTCAGCCATCCAAAACTCTCTCTCTCTCTCTCTCTCTCTCCCCGGAGTTTAGTAGAATATCTATTCCTTATACTACCAAAGCAAAGAAGAGAGCGTCCCTTTATTATTCAATAGCAGTAGCCATTCTCTCCCCAAGTCTCGGAGGTGCATCCAATGACATCTTTTCCTGCTAATTAAAGGTAATATATATGTATATTATTTCCCGCCAACACACACTCAAGAGCTATATATGCATGTATATGAAATATGTAGTGCATAAATGTTCAAATTGAATCTGTTGTTAATGATTAATTATTAAAACTACCCTGCTCCAAGAAAAGAAAAAATATTAACCTTATCGTGGACCTTTCGGTATCTGTTTATTAATTTCTTGGAGTATTCAATTTATTCTGGTCCACACAATTCCATATATTTTATTTGGGTTATTGGGTTCGATAAATTTTGTTAATTTTAGTAAGAATTATTAGTTAGTGGGTGAGATACTCTGAATTTTAGCTGAAAAACTTGTATCTAGGGAGCTCTTCTTCAACTGATTACTCAACCAATGCTAGCATAATAATCCTGTCCAAATTTGAACAAGACTATTGAGTTGAATAACATATGCTGTAAGGGAGTTTTTCCCCTCTACACAGCTTAATATATCCTAGGTAGGACATGTTTGCCACATGGTTGATGGTCGAGCATCCTCATTTCTCCACTGCTCCATTTTGTTGAGATTTCTTTAGAAGTCACACTTCCACTCAGTGGAGCGGCTTAGTTGATTAACTTCATCATAAAGTCTTGCTAAGGAAGTTGTCTTGTTATTTCAGTATGGGTTGGGCAGGGAGTTAGACTAGACATGTGAGTTCTGGGTTATTCTGCATAGATTTATGGCTATGAGGACGTTATCCATTGGACGGTAGGAGGGAGCTTCACATCCAGCTATTCTACTGGAGCTATAAATAGTAAGTCAATCATCGGTTGGATAGGTGGGATAGAGCTTCTGATTAGGCAACTTTGAGGGGGAACTGTAGATGGTTTGCTCATCTCATGACATTGTGGATGATCGACCTAAGATTCTCTAGACAGAAGAGGGAGCTCCTCACCTTTTAGGGGAGGTGGAGCTTTGGATGGTCAGCCTGTCTTTTGTTTAATGGTTTTGGATGATCAGTCCATTATCAGCTGGATGGGTAAGAGAGAATACCTCATCGAATGGTTTTCATGGATCTCTGTATGGATAGGTAATTATCTTTCAGGCAGGTAGGAGAAAGTTCCACATTCAGAAGGTCCAGTGGAGCTGTTCATCCTGACATTTTCCAGTTGGTAAGAGGGAGCTCTTCATCCATCGTGATTGGTAAAGCCAGGGACGATTAGCCAGTCATCCGCTTAACAAGTAGGTAGGAGCTCTGCATCAAGTGGGTTGAGTGGAGTTGTGGACGGTGACTCCATCCAACAGTGTTATCAGTAGGAGTTCTTCATCCAATGGGTTTGGTGATACCTTAGATGGTTAATCCGTTTTGTACTTGACAGGTAAGAGGGAGCTCTTCATCCTATAAGTGTAGTGTCTTAAGGAAGTCGACAGATAGTTGTAAATGATCACGTTGTCATCCACTGGATGGGCTGGTTGAAGCTCCTATCCAGAGGGTTAAGAGGATTTGTGAATGTTTAGCCTGTCATATGCTTGGCGAATAGGAGGGAGTTCCTTTTATAATAGGTATAATGGTGCCATTTACGGTCTGCCAGTCTTCCTCTAGATACTTAGAAGGGGCTCTTTGTCCAGGTGAAGTCAAGGATGGTCAGCTAATCGTCCTCTGAACAGGTAAAAGAAGATTAATGCGGACCGCTCTTTGCTAAAGTATGTTGTGACACCGGTATGGTTTTTAACATTCCTACGCGAAAGTTTTGTATTAGTGGAAATTGGAATGCCAAGGCTTATGCACATTAGCTTTCTTTGATATGTCTTGCACATCTGGTCTGGTGCATATCATACCTATGATATATTATTTGTATTTATGCGCATACCATTATCGTTCAATCCTACTGTAACAAGAAGTTATTTGATTATGGAAGGTTGAGGTCTACAGTCGACTTGGTTAAAGTAGCAGCATGCTTTCCTTATTGAAAGAGAAATGTCAAAATCAATGGTGAAGGAATTATTTGGTTTGCTCGTGAGTTGTTTATTCATATGTAAGCCTGTATAAGTTGGAAAGTTCAGGTAACATGGCTGGAGTAAGTGGTGTTTAGAAATTGTGCATAATTTAGTGCTTAGAACTTGTAAATTGTCTTCTCTTGAATATTGAAAAAATAAAGAAAATAAAAAAATGAAATTATGAACATTAAGGAGTTCATTCATTTAATTAATTATTGAAAATAAGGAGTATAAAATGGAAAAGAAAATGAAGAAGTGAGTTACTCTTTCGTTCAGTAAACTTCAGTTTCTGAATAATGAAGTACTGTGAGCTAGTTTCTCACATTAAGGTTGAGTCAATTTCTTTAGAACTTTCTCAGCCTCTGTATTTTATGGGATATAGATAGTTATTGCTATATAATTCATTCTTCTTTCTAATTTCAGGGATGGAAGTTCTTTCTTGTGATGCTGGCAGCTGCTGTTATATTGTTAATTTTAGAAGAAAAGTGGTAAAGAAATGCCCAACCTTGCATCAACTCCAGCTTCCACGAGAAACAAGGTTCTTTAGTGTTCCAATTAAATCTAATAGCAAGTATTTGCAATATTCTCATCCACATCATTTTAGCTTTACGAAACTTAACAATTGTCAACCTTCTAGAACTGTTGTTGTTCTTAAGAGAGATGAACATGACAATTCTAGAGTTTCGGATGAAACTTATAGCTCTTATGTACTTGATGGGGAAGAAGGTGTGAACAATGTGACTGGTAGGGGAAAATCAGTGTCTAACGTCTTGATTCCTAGTTTACCAGATGAATCCAACTGTGATTATGTAGCTCCAATTAGAAGCTCTTTCTGGGAATGGAAGCCCAAACTGATTGTCCATTATGAAAAATCAGGTTCAGAAAATGTTCACTCCCCTCCTTTGCTCTTCCTTCCTGGCTTTGGCGTCGGCTCCTTTCATTATGAAAAGCAACTAAAGGATCTTGGTCATGATTTCAGAGCCTGGGCTATTGACTTTCTTGGTCAGGGCATGTCATTGCCATGTGAAGATCCAACTTTAGGATCCAATGGTGGAGATAAACTTGAATCAGATAGGGATAATATCATCTGGGGTTTTGGAGATGAAACTGAAACTTGGGCAGAGGAACTTGTTTATTCTGTCGACTTATGGAGGGACCAAGTGCGCTATTTCATAGAAGAGGTAGCATGATTTTTTATTAATTTCTTTGTTACGATATTCGGGTGTTCCGAACACATGAGAACGACTTGTAGTAGAGTTGTCTTTTGATCTTCTTATGTATGCACATTGTGTTTTTCCTTTGAGTTCGTTTCTCAAATTTGTTTATAAAATCTAGCTCTTATGTTCATATTTCTGTGATGCTGTTTTTCCTGGTCTATATATAGTATACTTTTTACTGCATGGTTATGGTATCGTCGTAGTTGACCTTCCATATCTTTTATGAAATATAACGGTGAATTTATTAATTTACGCAACTTTGAGCTGATAAGTTTAAACTGTTGGGTTTTGAAATATCAATGATTGCAGTAATCAGATAATTCGGACCGTGTGTAATTTTGTTTTTGTAATAAAAGACAAAAGTAAATCTGTTTAGAGGACTGTCTGCAAACATTCATTCATTCCAAAACTTACTCTGGTATGATCTTTTTATATTCCTAGTTTAACGAAGTAAATTGTGAGAGGTCATATCTTTATGGGTCAGGGTGTGGTCAGTTGAATAGTAAGTATTGGTATGATTTGCATTTTCCTTTTTTCCTTTTCTTTCTGTTTTTTTTTTATTGAAGTATTTTGTTACATTCATAGCACAATCAGTGTGTGTGTGGCTAGGGGGAGGATGAATTGAGTACTTCATGTTTCGCATTTCTTCTCAAGTGGCTATCTGCACCATTCAACTGATCAGTTTGTAAATGTTAAGCTTGACTTGGCAGTAACACCTATGATGTTGTTACAGAGCAGTAAGAGCATTATTGTGTTATGGCCTTATTTGTCAATACCGATTGAACAACGGTACAAAATGTACAAGTATAATTTGCAAACGGTGCAGGTTATTAAAGAACCAGTTTATCTTGTGGGAAACTCGCTTGGAGGGTTTGTTGCAATCTATTTTGCAGCATGCCACCCTCAGTTGGTGAAAGGTGTAACCTTGCTCAATGCAACACCCTTTTGGGGATTCTTCCCAAATCCTGTCAGATATCCCCGATTATCAAAACTATTCCCATGGGCTGGGACATTTCCTCTTCCTTCAATTGTCAGAAAGCTAACAGAAATTCTGTAAGTTCTGACCATGCATCAAATGTTTTAATTTCTTCTTTTAGGATGTACAGTCCCCTTGAAACGGCATCTTTGAAAAATGATGCATCTCCTTGTTATTGTTGAACCACTTGATCCAAAAGTTTAAGCGGTTAGAGAGTGCTACGTGCATATTATTTAAATCTTATATTCTACATGCCCCCTCATGTACTCCAGATTCAAAATTTCCATTGAAACCTTAAACGTGTAACTTTTAATAAATGGGTGACAGCGAGACTTGAACCTAGAACTTTTGTCTGCTATGATATTAGATCAAGTAGTTCAACTGGAATCGTAGTTCAACTGGAATCATAGCTCAAAAGAGAAATTCGATCAGTCTAAAACTTAAATAAGCACACGGATTTCAAGATTGGTGTTTTCAAACTAGCCACCATCTTCCGGGGCATGTAAAGGGATAAAAATCTCAAATCGAATATAGATGAAATAAATAAGGTTTGGGCTGCACCTCTTACCAAAATTGATCTTATAAGATGGAAGCCAAAGTCATAATATCTAAGTTTTAAGATCAAGTTGTTCAACAATTATTTGAATATTTATTGGTATATACCTTCCGTATCTCATGAACTATGAAAACTTCGTTATTTAAAGGTCTGCTATCAGCTTCTCTCGATTTTAGTTTTGGATATGCATCTATTTGCTAATGATTAAAATCCTTCTAAACAAAAGTATTTTGTATTGGACATTGAAGTTCAAAATATATTTTTTAAATTAGAAAAAAAAGACTCGTGGAAAGTTGAGATCATGTTGAGGTTTGCTTTTTCTCTTCTCCTCCTAATGTTCTTCAAAGGATATTACGGACTTACATCTCCAAACCCATTAGTCTTACCAATTATGTTGTGAACTTGCTTATTTTTTCCCTGCTATTTCATTATAGATGGCAGAAAATCAGTGATCCTAGAAGTATCGAGCAAATACTTGACCAAGTCTATGTGGATCATTCGACTAACGTTGATAAGGTGTTTTCTCGTATACTCGAGACAACACAGCATCCTGCAGCTGCTGCCTCGTTTGCGTCAATTCTGTTTGCTCCTCAGGGTCAATTATCCTTCAATGAGGCTTTGTCGAGGTATGTACAGCAACAGATCAAATGGTGACACAAATTTGTTTAAAATCCATGTATTCTTTCTCAAGGATTTGCAACTTGCTTTCCATTATAGGTGTCGAATGAACAATGTGCCTATTTGTCTTTTGTATGGGAAGGAAGATCCTTGGGTGAAGCCAATCTGGGGTTTGCAGGTGAAACGGCAAGTGCCAGAAGCACCGTATTATGAGATTAGCCCAGCTGGTCACTGCCCTCATGATGAAGTTCCAGAGGTATGAATTGGAATTCTGTTATTAACCGCAGATTTCGTCTGCATAATTAGATAATAATGAAATCTTCGGTATGGAATTTGGTCTTTACAATGCCCTGCTCCAGTCCAGTCCAGTCCGGCTTTGTACATTCAAAATGAAAGATGTGTGATATATTATTAAATAATATTGTCACTCGAGCAAAAACTCGATTCTTGTATGCGCTCATGGCTTTCCTGGTTATTGGCCACAAGGTTTATAGCAGTCCAGTGCTGCATACCTATGGCCAAATCTGTGTCGGACTTGAAGAGAAAATGCCTGGCTTTTGCTCTTAAAATTGATTTTCAATGAATTTCAGAGGGCTTGTATTCCTGTGTTCGACCCATCTGACTCTTGTTTATTTGAATAGGTTGTGAATTTTTTACTACGAGGGTGGATACAAAACCTGGAGTCACAGGGTAGTATTGCATTGCCTCTCCTTGATACCCCACAAAGTGTTGATGCTGATTTTGCCTGGGACTTGGAATTCATCAGAGAAGGGTCCAGAAAATCGACTCGGGTAAAATTCCTCATGCCCAAGTTCTCTATCTGGGATCGGCTAATCTCTCGCTTCAAATTTGGATTTGAAAACAGGGGAAGTGGAACAGGTTCTCAATGAAAAAAAAGTCCCTTCTTCCATTATTCAGAAGATTGTACATATTCTGCTCTGTTATTTATTCACGTGTCCTTTATAGATTGTACACTAATCTGAAGCAGTAAATAATCACGGTGTACATCTCGTTTGGCTCAGCTTAAAGTTTTTACCTAAGTATTTCGTTCTTCCACGAGTTTCTCTTTCGAACATGTATAAATCCATCACCTCAAAACATTCTAATGGCAATGTACACTTTAGATGCTATCAAAAATACCAAATAGACATCAAAAACAAAAAATAAATACTAAAACAAAGTGCTTAACAATTATCGGAGGACACAACAGGGATCCAAATACTTTGTCGTCCCAGTGAAGGATTTAGCCTCCACCTATAATCAATCATCCGCGAAACTCGATGCTCCTCCAACTATGCATTAAAATTCCGGACTGTACTGCGATGGATCACCAGTAGACTCAGGGAATGGAGTGTAACAATGCTGTTTTGGAGGCAAACTTTCTCCTTCCCAGAGTCACGGCCCGGGTATTGGAGTGCAAAACATAATAAAGAATCCTTTGCTCATGAACTCGACAAATCACAGGAATCATTCTTCGTGAATCCAACAAGATTGACTAATCTGGGTATATGGAGCTTTGACAAAACGCCTATACATTTTCAACTCATTTGGATCGTTCGAAATGCACACTTTTTGGGCAGTTCAGTTTGGTTGATGGCCGCAAGTCCGCCACCACAAAGAACACCTTATTATACAAGGCTATGGTTGCCTCCGTCTTAAGAGTTTCGAGCGTGAGAAAAAATTTATCGGCCTTGGTAAATAGGCCAACATAAAAGTCCCAATATCGATGAACAGTTTTATCACAATGTTGAAACATGTCAAGAAACCCAATAAAAATTATTGATTAATCAATGACATAAGGACAAGTTCATGGCCTCACATAAGAATACTAGGTTTCGGTAAGCCATACAATTCAACGCGGGTAAAATTCAGTTTGGAAAAGCTACAACTGAGCATAGTCTATCAGAAAACATATATATGTTTCAAACCTACATATATTATGTGAAAAGCAATCAGCAGCGTCTATTGATGTCCTTGGATCTTGTCTTCAACTGCTCTCAAAAATCCCAAGGATCTGAAAAGCCAAAAGAGATCATGGGGCGGCAAAGAAACTAGCATAAAAATGAAACAAAATCCCAGCATGGTATCTAAAGATGTCACTTCTTGTGTACAAAAGGGTCAATTTGACACAATTCCACAACTAAAAGGATTGACATAATCAGAATTTGAACGTTTGCTGTGGAGTATTGCTGCTAATTTATCTCGAGTTCTGCCTTGTCTTGATCATTCGTTTGAGAGTTGAGAGCCAGAAGTTGCATTCATCCCAATCGCTAGTAGTGAGAAGTACCTATACAACAATCAACATGCCACATGTTAACAACGATTATGCATGGGAAGTGAAAAGAAATGAATGAAAGAAAAACTTCTCGAAGGTTTTGCGGGTGCCTGGATCTGAAGGGCAGTGCTAAAATCGCCGTTGTCCAATGCCTGACAGAGTTGTACAAGCCTTTCGGCAGCATTTTTAGAAATGTCTCCACTATTGAGTTTCGCAAACAAGGCACCCAACTTCTTTGAGTTGTCCTCAATTTCCCGCTTCTTAGCTGGATTAGCTCGAGAACCTCCCAATGCTTCGGATGTCTCGTTGAAAAGTCTTGTTAAAGTTGCAATAACAGGCTTCTGCTGTGCTGTAGCATACAACAGCAAAGAAGCTATCGTGTTAGGTAGCTAAAAAGATTCACTAGAATTCCTCAGTTTTCATTTATTTCTTTTCAGTTCCGTAAGAACATTAAAATTGCAGGAACAATTAAATGATAGATGCCAAATAGTACTATGGCTATATATCTTAATCTAGGACTATGGGATTTGTAGAGAAATGGAACTACTTCAACCCTCAAACAACAGAAACCCTCATCTATTTATGATCAAGTAATTCCAAGGGGAGCAGAGAATCACTTAGGAAGTCAAAATAGAATTTCATGCCATTCCCGCAACACTGCAGAAATACCTAAATTTAGGGAGTAAATACAATTATTGGTATATAAGTACTCTCACAATGAATTCCAGAACCAAATTCCAGAAAGAAAGTCAATGTCACGACGCTTTCTGTAAAGTGCAGAGAGGCCCATTATTCAGAAAACAAGGTCCCACTTATCATTTTACATACCGATATCTTATTGCCAACGTGACATAATAACCTAGTTGTATATATCACAAAATTAAAATTACCAATCTACTAATTATTAATTTACTCAGGAGAAGTTCATGGAACCTATAAAATGATTTTTTGCACGTATTTGAGCAAAATAAAACTAACTTCTAATCATCCTGGAGTGTTTATCCCGAGATTTTTTGAATATTCAATGTACCGAAAGTTGGGCAAAAGTTCAATTAAATTCAGATTTTGAGCTTTATAACAACTGATGCAATATCGCATGGTAACGTGAACAAAAATCACTGAAAGTACTTTGTTAGTTCATTTGTTAAAAGAGACGACCTTGCATAGAAGTATTTTGTCAGATCAAAAACCAATAAACCAAAGTACAGGGTTACCTGCTCCTTTTTTTCTAAATACAAAACAGATGAAACAAAAGCAGAAGCTTACCAGGTACACTCGAAGTATCAACAGTCTGAACTGTTGGTGGGGGAGTAGCAGGAGCTACAGGTGGTTGTAATGGAACAGACCGAGTAGGACTAGGTGGTAGTACTGGATTCATTGCAGGTCTTTGACCCCCTGAATTAGTAACTTGCATGAATCCTCTAGATGAGGGAGGAGGAGCCACAACCTGGGGCATCTGTTGTCCTGGAGTTGGGACAGCCTGAGATGTGTTAGCACCATATGCAGCCACACCAGGTGGTCCAGCTTGATAACTAGGATTAACACCTCCCTAAATGAAAGAGCGAAGATAAAATTAGACATGATATTGTGTATGAGAAGATAATTAACAGAAAAAGGGTAACATACAGGATATAATTGTGAACCCAACGTTGTTGGCTGCTGATATTGCTCAACATTTCTTAATTGAGGGGGATTTGTAGGAACAAAAGGTTTCAAAGCAGGCTGAGTAGCAGCAGGTGGTGGAAGAAAGTTTCCCTACAAAAGTTTTGAAAATTGAAATCTTAGTTTAATTACTATCAGATTCTAAGGTAGCCACACTAGTTTGATTTATCATCTGTAGCTCAATTTCCAAAATAAAAATTAAACCACGTGGGCAATTACTGTGGGAACTTGAGGTGTCTGGGATGGAACAAATATGTTGGGCTGTGGTATACTCTGTGGAGAAGGTTGATATGGGGAAGGAGCACTGTATCCCCTTCCCATTGAAGGAGCAAATGACTGCTGATAATTTTCAGCATAGGGACTGTTTGGAACACTTGGCAGCATTGGAGATGGTGTTGTTTCCTGAGAGATGATAAAGATTACAATTAAATCTCAGATGCTTTAAAAGTTGAATGACCATGATATGTTGCAGAACAGGAATGTTTACCTGATAATAATGTTGAGAGGTATCAGCAACACCATAACTCAATTGATCAACAGTATTATATGCAAGTCCTGTTTGTGACTGAGAGTTCTCATAAGCCACAGGCTTCTCAACCTCTTTGTCTGCAAAATAATTTAAATACCATAGTCCAGATCCAAATGTTGAAGAGAACATAAAAGAAGCTCTCGGAAGGTGGGGACAAACCGGATTCAGTGGAAAGAGCAATGCGATCTCGCAAGATTGCGAGTTCAGGAGACAATTCTTCAGTCCCCAAAAGCTTCAAATACTCCATTGCCGTAGTTAAAAGCCCTTGACTTGCTAATATTTCAGCATATTTCTCAACTAGTTTGCACAAAGAAGCACTGAATCTCTTTTGCCCAGTTGCCAAAGCGAAGACAATGGTCTTTTCCATTAAATCCTTCAAAAAAGAATAAATATGAGAATAAAAGTCAATTTTCCTTCGACATAATCTGGGATCTAATAAACCTTAAAGGAAACGTGCCTGAAGAATATCCACATATGATTTCCCATCATGCTCAATTGACAGACTCTTCGACCATATTTCCACTGTTCTGTCAATATTTCCAGCACATATATAACAAAGTGTAGCAGCAAGTGTATTACCAGCAGCAACGAGTCTAGAAGCAAGTGTGTCGCATAACAACGTCCATTCTTCTTGCTGGGCAAACTGTATGATATCATTGATTAAAAACCTCAATGGGGAGAGGGAAAAGAAATACAGTCAACAGAGTCCTACAACACTGTAAAGGAGCACTGAAGATTGTCTGTTTTGCATTTGAACTTTTTAATAAAGCACAGGCACCACTGCCTTTACACAGTCAGATATTGGGGGTTCTATGTTAATATTTAATGCATATTTCAGCATAAAACATGCATAATATATAATATGTACATGTATAGTGCCTGCATAATAGACAACTATAAAAGGCTTGCATTATAAAATCAATCAAATAGTTCTATCCCGGTGACTAAGAATTTAAGTATTTCATGCAAAAGATTGAGCATACAAGATGGAAGTAAAAGGTAGCAAATAACTGAAAACCGAAAGGATCTGTTCATCAATAGCAAAAGCAGGTGGATTGAAGAGAACCGAAGACTTCAGCAAAGCAAAATAAAAATTTACAATCCCAAGAACATGACAAGCTTAATTTTCTTCATTCTAAATTGGTCATGAATAACCACAAGAAGCAACTTGTTTTTTTTATTTTTTGACTTACCGTGCAGAGGAGAGCAAGTGTTTCCTTCCATGATTTCAGAGGCCTAGTGTTTACTAAGCTCATCAGATCATTGTTGACCATTGCAGAAACAACCTGAAATATAAAAATATCAGAGAAACCCTTGATGATGAATATAGCACCACCACATCAACATAGAGATGTCATGAAGGGAATGGAGAAAGGTTCTTATATTTCCAACAATAAACTCTGACCACCTTCAGATAAGGAGAA